TCCTTGCTTTAACATTGACTGGCTCTACCTCCTGGCACAAACCCAACAATGCCCCTTCCTTAAGTGTCTGCTCACATTGAGAGAAATTGGCCACTGTTATAGGTACTACTTGACGACCTGCTACAAGTGACCTTCCAATCTTCAAATCCGCTGGCCTAAATGGGTCTTCCACTGCTTCTACAAGCATTGGGCTTCCATGGGGATGTTCTTTTATCCTTCCCCAAATTATCTTCTCTGACATAGGGGGTATTGTAGTTGAATTAAGTGCTGTGACATGCAGATCAACGGATGTAGCAACACTTACTGGAGTCTGACCTTTGTTGTTTCCAATCGTCATTTTATCGAAGTTAACTACACACTTCCTCGGTAGTAGATAGTCCAATCCTAATATGCATTGGTCTTCAATGTCAGCCAAGTATACTTTCTGTCTGTCCTTTATGCCCATGAGCTCAATAGTTACCCACACTGGTCTCCACAATCTTGTAGAATGTCCTGTCACACCACAGAGCTTCTGTATGGCTTCTGGTACTCCTTCGTGATCTAACACCTTGGTGCTCACAAGGGTTTGCTGAGATGCAGAATCTATGACAAAGTTGCACCTTTGGCCATCCAGCTTCCCTATCACGTAGATACTGTGTGTGATTGGCATTTTACACCTAGCTGTAGAGACTTTCATGATGGGGGTTGGTGAGTGTCCCTCAACACCAACCACTACTGGTGTCCTTGAGACTGACTTGTTGGTGATATTCTTCCTACACTGGCTCCTCAGATGCCCTTGCTCCCCACAGTTCCAACAGCCTTTCTGGGTAGCAGCCTTTTCTGCTGTATCATTTCCCCTGTGTTGAAGTTTCCAGCATTGAGCTCTCTTGTGCCTAGGTTTCTTACAGTGCCAGCAAAGTCCCTCAAACGTCTCTGAAAGCTGACCTTTTCTGGTCTTGAATCCAGATGACTGTACCAATCTTGGTACCTCTCTGCTGGACTTAACGTAGGATTCAAATTCGAGAGCTCTGGTCATTGCATCCTGCATGATAGAGGGGTGTGCTTGCTTCACTTGTATCTTTAGTTGTGGACTGTCCAAGGCATCTATGAACTGATCCCTCAGCAACAACTTGAGGAGATCGGGGTGGTGCAGTTGGGTAGGCCTTGTGTGCCATGCCTTCCAGGTCCTGTGCCAGCTCTTGCAGGCTCTCCCCTTTAGCACGAACTCTCGTCCTGAACCTAGCTCTTTAGACTTCTGACTGATTTTGGGTTCCGTACCTGACTTCTAGAGCCGATACCAGTGCTCTATAGTTGTGCCTGTCATCTGCTGACAACTGTCCAAGTATTTCTAGTGGTTGTCCCTTCAAGTTCGTTGCCAGATATACTGCTTTCTGCTCCTCTGTCCA